TTTCACTTTTTCTATTAATCATCTTCTAGTATTTTTCGTTTATCTTCATTCTTTCATATAGTACATCAATTAATTTAATATAATATAAATTTTAATTTTAAGCTGAAATCGTTTTTACAATTAATAAATAAATTGCATTATAAATTAGTCATAAATATAAACCGTCATATTTGGCAAATTGTCTTTCATCAAACTTTTTGCTTCAAATTTTTACTTCGAATAAAATTACGACAAAGAAAAAATTAAAGGATACTCTTCTTTGTAATTTAATGTTTCTTTTTGTTTTTGAGATTAAATGAAATAATGGCTCTTTTCTTCCAATAACAATAAATTTTTATTTTTCTATTAATAATAAAAAAGTATTTGGCCTTCTTTTAAAGAGTGCCAAAAGCAATAAACAAAATGGGCCCGAAAAATATTGGTTATTATAGATGATTTTAAAAATGTAATAAATATTATTTTACTAACATATAAATTAAACTATGTCAAATAAGTTTATTTGATGGTATAAATATGCTTTAGTATAATGGCTCTAAATTATTATTTAAAAAAGATGAATACCTTGTGATCCAATAAATAATTACAACAAACATGGAAGAAGAATCAAGTTTAATAAGAATAATTATTTGAAATAATAAACATATTTATATATTAAGATAACATCAAGTATAACAAACCGCATTTGAAGCCTAAAAACTAAAATTTTTACTTCAAGATATAATACATTTTTCTAAAAACAAATAGCATCGCTGGTCTAATGGTAGAATTTCACCTTGCCAAGGTGGGGGTCCGGGTTCGATTCCCGGGCGATGCAATTTTTTTTTAATCATTCATTCAATATTCTTAAATCTAGAATATTCAATGTTATGTTCATATTTTTTATGTTTACATAGAAAAGCGTCATATAATTGATTTAGTTGAGCACTTAATAATGGTTTTCTCGAATAAAATCTGCTGATTAATGAATATGATTTTAATAGAATGAAAAATAATCTCTGAAGATGATTATCTAATGAATTGTATTGAATTATTTAGTTCTTATACTTCAGAAAAGCGTAATATGTATGAGCATCTTTTTCAATTCTAATTATTTTAAGACAAATCTTTTGTTATATATACCCAAATGTAATTTATGACAAAATTTACAGGAATTATTGAAAATATTTTTTTTTCTATCCGTAAACTATTGAAATGAAAAAAATGTGAAAAAAAATTTGCCGATTTTATATAAAAAAGTACTAAAAAAATTATTAATTTTTTAAATTATTATTATTTATTTAATTTAAAATATATATATCCAATATTATGATCACTTTTCAATATTAATTAAAAAGATAATGATTTATTTAATTTTTCTCTCAAAATATAAGGGATTAATTCAAATATAAGGTATATTCAAAATGAAATATATTTTCTGAACTACAAAAATGATCGGAAAAATTTATACAAAAATAGATCTCCGCAGCTGAATCATAGGAATTTGTCAGCATCATTAATTAGAAATTTTTTTATTATAGCACAAGTATTAGAATGTTATAAGAATGAATGAATCAAAAATATTATTTCTATGATGTATTTACCTATAAAAATTCAAAAAAATCAGTTAAAATGCACTTTTCCTATAATATATATAATTTTGATAAAATTAAAGTTTATAATAAATATATTAATTCAATATAATTTTATAAAATATATATCATGTTTACATCTGTTGCGCATATGTCGAGATAGCTGTTTTTCAACGGATGATTTAAATTGATTTTTTTGACATCAATATCTAGTGTCTAGACTTAATGATAGATTTATATAAATATTTAAATGTTATAAAATAAAATACAATAAGTATATTATATGTTTATTCTTATATTTCAAAAGATATAAATATTTTAATAATTCAAAATTTATGTGATGTTAGCGTCTGCAACTCGGCTGAATCTTTTCATTCACAATTTTCTCACCGTGTGAATATCAACTGTGAAAAAAAAAATAAAATAATATTTCATTCGTAAATCATATTTAGCAAATCTGCAAAGTGATGCGTTTTATTTTACAATGAGAAAACGAAAGAAAAAATTTTTATATAAATTCAATACTGTTTGAATTGTTTTTGATTCATTTAAGCTCTGGTACATACTTTTTTTTTAATTTTATTCCAATCGAATCTATTATTTTTTTTAATATGTATGTATCTTTCGTTGTTTTTAAAAGATAAATGAATTAAAGTACCAAAGTTTTTAACTTTTCTGCTTCAATTTAGATATTTATCTCAATTTTTTTTCTCAGAAAAATTGTTGCGACAATTTTGCAATAAAAATCAAATATTTGAATATTTATTATAATTTATTAATGAAATATTTATATATATATTGGTAATATTGTATTATATTTTATCATTAATCAATTCAAATAGATGTATTACGATTATTTCTATTACAAATATTTGTGAGGTTCAGAAAAAAATTCTATAGTAGTACATTCTTAATGAAGCCGATACATACTAAATTAAGGGACGTTATTGTTCGGTTTAGTACACTTTTCTAATGAATTTATCTTGCCAAAAAATTAAATTTAATCTAATTCATCAATATATAATATGCAAAATTATATATAAATTATATATACAAAATGATAATTTTAATTATACAAAAAAATAAATAGAAAATTTGAAATTAATTTTTTTTAAAACCTTGATTATTTTCATCTACACAAAGAATTCAAAAAGTTATTATTTTCTCTCAAAAAAAAAGAAGAATTATTTGAAAAATTTGAATTTTTATTCTATATATTTCCTCATGTTGTGAGCAATTCTTGCTATCAATGTAAGGTAAATGAGTTTTTTCTTCTTGCAAAGTATAAACTTGGTAATTTGTTCTTTTTTCGAAATATATTAATATAATGGATATGACGATTTCCAAAAATAATGATTAAAACCTAGAGGCAAGCCCGTAATTTTGTTTTCCAAATCGATTTTATTCAGCGGTTTTCCTTGTGATTCTCATTTTGGTGAAGAAAACTGGTTCTCAATTTTTTGAAAGAAAAAATTTAAAATTTCCATATCTTATCAAAATTGAGAAAACCGAACTTTAAATTGTATTCAATTTTGAAAGGTTAGAAAGAATCATTTTTCTAGTCATTTCAAGTAATATTTTATTTTATGATTGATATTTGCATAAAAGATATAAAATGAAAATAAAAAATTGAATGATTCATATTCAGAGCATCATTGAATTTTTGAATTTTTTTAAAATTGAATAAATTCAAATTATTTTTTTTATTAGTTCATTTCAAAATAATTATTTCATGACTGTGCATGCTTCCTATGTATTAATGGTTTGTGAAAATTTATTATCATTAACTGATGATAATTTATTCTTGGTTGGACACCAAAATACCGAAGATTCACATCCAATTCCATCTTTTGATGAAAAATTGCTCATGAATTTATGTTCTGATGTTATTAATGTATTAAAAATTGAAAACAACATCTTAAAAATTGATGATGATACATTTGTGGTTGGTGATCTCCATGGAAATTATCATGACCTACTTCGTATCCTAAATTATGCATCAAAAACAACACACAAAATCATATTTTTAGGGGATTATGTTGATCGTGGGCACTTTTCAATTGAATGCATTACATTATTATTTTCACTAAAAGTTATGTACCCAGATAAGTACTTTTTGCTTAGAGGAAATCATGAATTTGACTGTATGTGCTCACAATATGGATTTAAAAAAGCTATTTTAAATCATCATAATCCAAAAAAAATTGAAAAAATTGTTTCGGCACCAACGATTAATTATTTTCAATCATCACAAATCTATTTCAAAGAGTTATTAAACATCGATAATGTTGAAGAAACGACAGATAATCATGGAAATTCATATTTTGATGATCATTCTCATTATGGTTGTTATAGATATACAGAAAAACTTTATGAATCTTTTCTTGATGCTTTTTCTTATTTGCCAATAGCAGCTATTGTTAATACAGATACTTTATGCATTCATGGAGGCTTGTCGCCATACTTAGATAAAGTTGAAAAAATTGAAAGGTTTATTCAAAGGCCAATTTCCAATTATGATCAAAATCAGCTCTTGATCGATCTTTTATGGAGTGATCCATCGATTGAAAATTGCGACTCTTTTTTAGAAAATCCTCGTGGAAAAGGAAAATTATTTAATTGCATTGCCACTTCAACTTTTTTAAGAAATAATAACCTCCAAAGAATCATTCGTGCTCACGAATGTGTCAAAAATGGAATCGAATTTAATTTCAATGATAAATGCATAACTGTTTTTTCAGCATCTTCATATAATCAAGATCTCGGAAACAAAAGTGGCATTTTAAAACTGCACAAAAAAGACAATAGAATTGAGCCAATTATCTTTAAGCCATTTAAACGTCTTATTAAATGTGATACTCTTTATTATAAAGTTCAAAAGTTCAATGATTCTAATATTTCCAAGCCACTTCTTTCTCACTTTAATATAAAATCAATTTCTAGCTTAAAATCTATGCCAAATCAAGCTAAAAGCAATAAAAATGCAGCTCTTTTATTGCATTTACCTAAAAATATAATTGCAGGGATGCCATCAAATAGAAAAAAAGGTTCATGCGGCAGATCACTTTCGTTTACTACCTGTTCAAAACTGAAAAATAATTCCAAATCAATAACTCCGAAAAATTCATTACCATGTGATATTTCTTGCTTTAATAACTTTAAAATAAATGAATTCGGAAATGAAAATGAAGATCAAAAATCGTCAGATGATCACGTTAACTTGCCCTCTTTAAATAAAAGTGATCAAAAATAAAGTATTTATATTTTTATTAGACTAAAAGATATATTTATCTCTATTTCTTTTTTTGTTATTTTTTAAATTATTAATTTTCAAATTGACTAATAGCAAAGCGCAAAAAAAGGAGCGATTTCTTTCTCTTATCATTTGATAACAAATTAATATATGGCTATATTTAAATCCTATTTCAGTTTGTCAAGGTCGTCCAATGGAAGGATAGGCATCTTTTGCAAAATCATATTTTAATGATATTGGAAATTAAGCCAGATTGGGGTTCAATTCCCTGCCTTGACGTTTTTATTTTTTTTATCTTCCTTTTTTTTTTTTTTTTTTTCTTTTCTTTTTTCATAAATAAAAAAATCAAAAAACATTAAAGAATTTCAATATTTCTAATATAACTATTGTTTTTTAAATATGAAAAAACTCAAAGCCAAAATGGCTTTAATCAATCTGATTTTAAATTAAAGTATCAAATCAAGAATAAATGAAATATAATTTCCATATTCAGTGGTTTTCTCACAAAATAATTATTAATTAACCAAATGACTTTAATCAATCTGATTATTAGGCTCCAAAAAATGAAATATAATTTCCATATTCAGTGATTTTCTCACAAAAGAATTACTAATCCCATTTAGGCTTTTTATTTTAAGAATAGATATCAAAAACGTCACTTTTTTACGTCTGATACTCGATTATCTGTTTAAAAATCTGATATCAATATCATGATATCATGATATCATGATATCAGGTATGAAATGTGATATAATAAATTGTAAACTTGAACAAATAAACGAGATCTCAAACAGATTTATCTTTTTTTATAATTGGTATTTGTGATTTTAAAATATTTAAAAATAAATAATATAATATATTGATGTTAATTTAAAGATTAAAATCAAAAAATACATTCTTTTTTATCGTAATTACGATAATAGATTTATCAAAAAGTTTAATTGAAAATTCTGATATCAAAAACTGAGAAAGATAATTCTCGATATCTGAAATCGATCTCGAGAATCAGTGCATATTTACATATTTATATCAAAAAGTCAATCAATTATCGATATCGAGATTCGGAGAATAACAAGCCTAAATTCAAGAGTTTTTATAATCACTTGAGACTAATCCCATTTTACTTTTGATAGATTTCTGTGCTTCCTAATTTTGTCCAATTTTTTAAATAACATTTCATAGGTCAATTTTATTTAAATGAAAAACAGAGTTAGAAGTTTTTAAAAACAATAAAAATAATAAAAGGCCAATATTTTAAATATGAAACTGCGTTACCACTTTTTAATTAAATGTGATGTGATGAGTAATTCAAAATACAAAATTTTACTTTTTATCTTTTGTTTAATGCTAATCGAAAACGACGATCAATTCATCATAGAAACAGAATACTTTTATAGACTATATACAAAAGAAAACTTTCAAAAAGCTAGACGAAAAAAAGCGAGAATTAAAATAAAAGATATGTCTGAAAAAGTTGATTTCGATTGGAACTGCCAACAAGTTGCTGCGTTGTTTAACCTGTTTCCATCATGGGATTTACAAATAAAAAGTACAGGAATGGGTTCCTCAAAATTACTACTATACGATACTCAAAATCCAGAATGTTGCATTAAAGCAAAGTTATTTCCCAATTTCAAAATGGCAGTTAAAGCAAATTTAGCATGGATAGTTAAATACTGGAATTCGCAAATTACATTGTTGGTTAAAGATAGAGATGAAAGAAACCGGGTTTATAAAAGGGGAAAAACAATTGAAATGTATTCATATAATATCATTTTTAATATACAAGATACATCTACTTTTATTATTTTTAATGCTTTATACGCTATATATTATCCTCCAGAATTATTTACAAATTCATATAATTATTTTTGCCACTATTTATGGTTTGAGAAAAAATTGCCAAAATTAAATGAAAATTCGATAGACTTTAAAATGGACTATTTTGGATACTTTTTACAATAACCGTTTTTCAAATGGACTATTTTGGATACCTTTTACAACATTCAATTTTTTCATTAAGATGCTACAAAAATGAAGAAGCATATAGAAAGAATATAAGATATGATTTTTATAAAAACATGAATATTTAATAATTAATAATAGTTCATTTAAAATATGCTTGTGAAATTTGCTATATTAGTATTTGGATAAAATTTTGCAACTTGTGATCATACATTAAATAATTTGTATATTATTGAAAACCAATTGCTTGAATGCTATCAAAAAGAAAATAATATTCTTGTAAAATAGTAAATAATATCATCATTGTTGTAAATGTTTAAAAAATTCAATTATATCAGTAAAAATGAATTATCAAAAATGTATATAAACTTTTATTGAATACATTTAAATGCATAAACAGTTGGACTTTTGATGATTTTTATTGAATTTGTCATTATTCCTTTCATATTTTTTGGTGAAAAAATAAAAGAATTCTGATAACATTAAAATGAGAATTATTTGGAGTGGGAATAAACTTTGTAAACATCTGTAAAATAAAAAAGCTTTGCGCGAAGTTCGTTTGCTTTTAATAAAGATATCTTTGGGGATCAGAAGAAATCATGTGAAATGAAATGAAATGATAATTGAATCATTATTTGGCCATTAGTTTATTGTTTTTTTAAAAATTCAATTTCAATTTAGCCATTCTTTATTGTTTTATTTTGAAAATTAATTTGGTTGTTTTATAATAACTTTTTGAATGTTTAAAAAGCCGTTGTAAAAAGTATCCAAAATAGTCCATTTTGAAGTCTGTCGAAAATTCGTTTATAAATGATTTTATTCAAACTTTTGTAAAACGCCCAGAAAAAGAAGCCGATACATCTTTTGATGCATTCAAAAAGTCATTTGACGGTTATGTAAAATTTGACATTGCACATGATAGTCCTGAGCTAAGAAAATTCCCGATAATCGATTATAATGATGAGAAATGGAGAATTTTGGGAGGAATTTATATTTCTAATTATGCTTCAACAATAATTGAAAAAAACAGTAAAATTATTTCTGGTTTTCTCTTGGATACCACATTCAGGGCACTTCCGACATTTGTAACGGCAATTCTAATGGCCTCTATTTTCACCAAAAACAAAATTCAAAATCTCGTTTGTAACCGTCATTTGCTAGTAAGCTTGAAAAGTAACAAATTTTTAAAACCTAATAATTTTTTCTCTGATGATGATTTTAGAGTGTTAATTATTAACACATATCTAGAAAAATACTGCGACACCGAGAATATAAAACAATTTAATGCATCTGATGGTTATATTTGAGATTTTAAGAACAAGCACAGAATTTCAAACAAGAAATGCAGTAGAAACGTTAAGGATGGCTCCGAGCTAAAGCTCTCCGCACATCCTTAACTATGCTCCAACATGCTCTCAACAGCCATCGATAGCTCCAACAGGTCCTTGAGAGCCAAAGTTTGGGAACAACAGCTATTTTATAATTAATTTAAGATTTTATCGGGTATGCAAATAAGAATATGTCTATTGATAAGCATTTTGACTACGCTAATGATTTCGAAATAAAGCCAGATACATGGAATCGTTATAATTGGGATAAATATCCTAGTGATATAAAGCGAATTTGGTCTAGTTGCAATGGAGCCCACATATTTAGTAAGCGACTATATACAAGAAATTTTATCAATGGGATGATGCGTGAGGGTCATCCAACCAAGTTATCGACAATGGAGCGTCAATATTGGCTTAATCAAAATAGCATCCCAGATCGAATAAGAAAATTCATTTAATATGATTTAAATGGCTGAAATCAAGCGAGTTGAGGAATTAATTCAAGAAACATTGCATAAGAATCCGCGAGATATTGAGATGGCTTTAATAAAACCACTTAGTCCAGAATATCCATTCTCATCCAATGGTATATATTTTCTGATCGGCAAAATGGGTGCCGGCAAGTCATTCTGGATATGGAGACATATTATGATAACGGAGCGATTATTTGACAAGCCATATTACAGTAAGATAGTATTTTGTTCAACATCAGGTAAGCTCGATAAAACAGCTGAGGTGTTATCCAAAAATGTTAAATCCCCGATTGAATACATTAAGGAGGATAATCTATTACCATACCTTAAGCTACATCTTAGACGAAAACTTAAATACTACGCTATGGTGAAACATGTATTGAGTAAGATGGTTGAGGTGAATGAAGAAATGGCAAGAATTATATCTAAACATTCGTTAATGGAAATTAGTAAACTAGTTCGATATCAAACAGCATCATATCCATATAACACATTATTGGTTCTAGATGATGCAGCCGGATCTCCACTACTTAAGAATGGTAACTCAGAATTATGTCGATTGCTAACTAAGACCAGGCATTATAACCTTACATGTATTATAGCTGTTCAGACATTAAGATTTGTTCATCTAAATGTTAAGCGATTAGCTACAGATATTATATGTTATAGTGGTTTCTCTAAAGAGGATTTCACCTCAATGCTACAACAAACACCTAATAATCTCGATGTCAAATCAACAACAGCAGAATATCTCAATCATAGAGGCCAACATGATCGATTTATAATCAATATTACATCGAATGAATCACACTTTGAGGAATAAATTCAACTTATTTTTGTTATATATAAACATGGGATTCAAAAATTTCATCACTAACGGTTGGAATCGACTTAAGAATGATGTCCATCAAGGACTTATTGGAGCTAAGAATGTTGCTCATAGAGTATGGAATGCTACTAAGAAAGGGCTTATTGGAGCTAAAAACTATGCAATTAATAATCCTAAAGCTATCGGTACAGTATTGCATGCTATCACTCCATTTGCTACAGCATTTAATCCAGCATTGGGAGCTATAACATCAACAGGTGCAAATATATTTAGCCACATGCCTAAGGGATTTGTTCATCGAAAGTTCTTTTGTAAATAAAATTCAAAAATTGAAAAAGGAATGTGACAATGATTATATGATAAATATTGACAAAACTTTGTGACAGTTTTGATGAATAATTAAAGAAATGTCATCTTGACCATCAATCTTATAATAAATTTTTTTAAGATTAGGGAGCAATTTTTTTGGCTCCTGTTTTTCCCCAAAATTAAGAAGTATTTTGAATCTTGAATAGGCATTAAATGCTGATTTTTATAAATCAAAACATCATGTATTCATTATGATTCATAGCCATTTTTATTTTTCTCAATAATCTGGTATTTAATCTCATATTATCTATAATTTCAGTCATCATTCATCAAGTAAACGGCCCGTCATTCATCGACAGTTTAATTCATGCC